CATTGCATTGCATTGCATTGCATTGCATTGCATTGCATTGCATTGCATTGCATTGCATTGCATTGCATTGCATTGCATTGCATTGCATTGCATTGCATTGCATTGCATTGCATTGCATTGCATTGCATTGCATTGCATTGCATTGCATTGCATTGCATTGCATTGCATTGCATTGCATTGCATTGCATACCTCACCTCACCTCACCTCACCTCCTGCTTCGCTTCTCTCCTGTGCCCCTCCCCCCTTTTGTGAGTTGCTCCAGCCATCCTGATCCAACAATGCCTGACTGCATTCACAGTGAGGGTGACCCCACACACATTTGGTATTGATCTCTTGTCTTGAAATTTCTCAACAGGATCAAGAGACTTGTCCTGCCCGCAAACTCAAAACTTCACTGTGTTTAAGCCACTCTCCCCCATCCCCTTAAAATTCAAACCTGTCACATAAGTAAAATGCAAATGAGATCTGGGCCATTCAACCAATACCCATTGCTCCCCAGCAGATGTCAGCGGAGAGCTCCCTTCCAAAAGGAGCCCCTGTCCTGAGCCGCTCTCGGCCCTGCTTCTCTCTATTCGCCAACAGGTGTCAGTAGCGAGCAACCTTCTCTTACACTTGTGTGTGCGCTGCCACTTCGGAGAGCAGAGAGGCACCCTGGGGACCGGATTTGCCTCTGCCTAGCCCTGTGAGGGGTGGAGCCACGTGGCAGGCGTCTGCCCCACCCCAGGAGCAGCAGGGCAGCCACCACGCAGCCCACCCCAGGAACATCCGGCAGGAGCGAGGGCCCGGGTCACGTGGTGGCTGTCAGAGCTGGAGCCACGACCGGAGGTGCTCTGCTCCTGGGTCGGGAGTATGCAGCTGGGGGTGTTGGGTGTGGAGCGGCCAGTGGCGGAGTCGTGGGCGGTGCAAGGACAGTCGGTGGCAGCAGGGGACTAGCCAGCAGATCGGGCAGGGGCTGCAGCGCTGAGTGGGTAGAACGAGGCCGAGAGCCAGCAGGGCTCTGCGGAGTGCAGCAGGGAGGCAGCCCAGCTCAACCACGGGATGTGCAGCACGTCCAGAGCCAGTGGCCCAAGCTGCTGCCTTGGCTGCCTCATTCTGCCTGCGCTGCCTACCGTAGCCTGACGGCGACCTCATGCTGCTCCCCCGTCCCATCCTCCTACCCGGGCACCCCCAAGGAGCTGCAGCCTTCTGCATCCCCTTCTTCCCTGGTCCCTTGGCCGACCTCACCCCACATCGGGTAAGTTGTCTGTAATGGAATGTGCTTTTTATTGTACAGATCTATCTGATCTCTGGCATATTTCAAGGAAATTGCTACATACAGGAGCAGAAATCTAGTATTATGCCAGTCATTTATCCAGAAAATGGGGAAGACAGTTTAAAAATATAAAAGTTAAAAAAAAGTAACAAAATTAGCTGCTCTGTAATAATGCAGGCAGGCCCATAATGGGTATGTGTAGTCTATGAATATACTGAGTTCAATAGGAGATGTGCAGAGGTGTGGGGATGCAGGAAGCCGTCCCCAGCAAATGAGGATTGGTAAGCGTGTTCCAACGATTTGCTCTGAATATTTTCCTTCCTCCTGGCCAACCTGCAAAACTAGATTGACCCACAAGAAAGGGGGTGCTTGGGAGTGAAGGGCAGATATTCTTTGTGGGCTTCCGCCCCCCACCACCAATAGCTCATTATCAGGAACTAATCCTTGCAGATGTTTTCTCTCCCTGACTTGGTTACGTACTAAGTTCCCCCTAGGCTGGAGCAGGAGCCGGGGCTACTGTGCCAGAGCTGAAGCCAGGGGTGCAGTGTGGCTGCTCCTGGGGTTGGGGTCCCCTGCATCCCTGCCCTCCCCACTGCTCTTAGCGCCAATGGTGGGTGTCAGTGGCACCCATCCGAACAAGCACCCAAGACCTCAGTATTGGCGCACAAGACACAACTCACTCGCACACGGATGGAAAATCTCAGGGAGAGGCGACACTGCTCATTGCCCTGGTTTGTTCTGTCCTCCTCCACCCCAGGGTTAAGTGCTCCTCCCCTTCCTGGATAAGGGGGGAGTCCAGACCCCACAAGTGCTGCTTCAAGTCTTGGGGCCCAGCACCTGGGAGTGACTCCTGAGATCCAAGTGAGTGAGCAACCGGAACAGGAACTGAGCTCAGGTCTCCGGCTCCAGGGAGCACAGTGTTGCCCCCAAATGCTTGTTTTGTAAAAGGTGCTTCTCTTGCCAAGTGCAAGGTCTAACTAGAAGCCTAGCCCTGACATACGGCCACTGGCTACAGCCAGCACCCGCCCCATCAGCTCCTCCCTTCTCCCGTTTCACTGGCTTCTCTGTCCTTGCCAGACATTTTCTTTCTGGGCAAAGGAACATGGCATAGGACAGAGCGCGAGGGAACACAGAAGGGGCTTATCGAGTTGTATTGGCCCCCAAATTTAATGAACTTCAAAATGTCCGATGTGCCCCACGTTTCTTAAAATCTGTAGCACCAGAGCTCATTCCCTCCCTGTTTTTGAGGCCCTTGACTGGTCCTGCAGCATGGCTGGAGAGGTCTGTACATCCTCTTAACCTGGTTCCAGTGCTTGCAATGGAGAAACAAACAAAAGGCAGCCATGTTTGATGCTGTGAAGTTCAAGGGCAGCTCTAAACCCCCAGGGTTTGCAAAGCCCAAGTGGCCCTAGGGGGTGTGGAATTATCCTGCCCTGGCCCTCAGCACAGAGATGAGATTTCCTAGGCTTTTGACGTTCTCATTTTTTATTACTCGAATAGTAGACCAGAGACAATGTTTTTAAATCAACAGCTCTATCTGGCAGAGTTCTATGGAAAAATACAAAGGGGGGGAGGCAGAAGAAACTGACAAGAAATTATAGAAACGTGACTTCTCTGAAGGCCTCTGTATTGTCGTTTGAGGCCATCTTTAGCCATAAAACTTGAGTCTTTCAAGAAATAATCAGTCACCGTACTAGTCTCTTACTCAGTGGAGCCTGCTGCAGGGTTCTCTAGGGTTGAGGGATCCTCTTGCATATGCTGTCTCCTGGTTGCTATTGTACTGTTGCTGCGCAGCCTTCATCCTTTTTTCTGTCTTCTAATCAAAGTGGGGGAGTTTTCACAGCATTCCTTGACGGCAGAACCAGTGTCAGTAACCCCCAGCCTGTGCGCTGGGAGGGAGAGTCGAACGGATGTGTTTGGGAGGAAAGGGACGAGAGCTCTGCTCATCTGCTCTCACGTTGGGCATTGTAAGCAACAAGTAGCTGTGGCCGCGGCACTATTTAAGTGAATGGGATGTTTGGCTGTTCTCCTCCTTGACGAAATGTTTACGTCTTCTCCTGCCAATGTACTTAAAGCTGCATTGCAACTAGCAAATTCAACAGCAGATGGCAGACTGTGGCTGCCCAGATGGCTGGCTTTCCTGCAGACGAGCATCTGAAACTGCTGTGCTTCCACAGTCATGGTTGAGGGCTGGTTCTGCTCCTCTAAAAGCTGGCGGTAATAGAGCCGGGGAAAGTAAACTCTCAATGGTGTGAAGCAAGACACAGCCAGACAGCCATTGGCTCTCATTGCTCCCGGCCAGCCTGGTAGGTGGCTTTACTGACCCCAGCTATATTGCAGCCTTAAAAGGGGGAGAAAAACTCCACTTGAGACCGAGTGTCCAGTCTTTTAATTATCTGCATCCTCCCATTTCTTAGCAAAATGAACCTGCTGTGCGTGCACGGCTGCAGCGCTGGCAGGTCTGGCCAGTGACTGCATGGAAATGGTTGAGCTATTGTGCGCAGAAATAGGGCTGGCTTGGAGATTTTCTCTGCCAGTTGCAATGAAGGGCTGCTGTACGTCCCTGAGACACAGCTGCTTAGCTCATTCCCATTTGTTCAGCTTCCTGCCCTCGGATTTGCAGGACTCACTTGTGCAAACATGCAGCTCTCTCTGCTTGTATTGGAGACCTTGTAAGCATCTGCTTTGCTTAGCCTACCTCCTTCGAACCTCTTCATCTCTGCAGCCACCTTGACGTCTGATCTCTTTGCACCCTGTCGCTAAACCTAGCACCAGATGTAATTGAATTCTGGGACAAAGAGGAGCAGCAGACCAGTGAGGTGTGTTGGTCTATGGGGGAGATGATGGAGCTATGTAAAGTAGCCATGTTGGTTAGGGGTATGTAGCTGGAGAGTTGAGGGTGGTAGTCCAGGCAGAGCCTAATGAATTGCCTAAGATAGAGGAGAATAGGGAGAGCATTGTTAATATAATCTATGATTCTGTAATTGGAAGGTGTTTCCTGCTAACTGTGTTCTGGGTTACAACCCCTTGACCTCAGAGCTTTAGTTCGGGATAAGGTCATTGCTTCGTAACGGAACAATAATTTGAGCAAATTTCTGCCTAACTTTTCTTGACTTAGAAAGAGTGAATGTTGTTTGTTAGTGATTCCTCCTTGTGTATCCCTGTTCGAGACTATTTAACTGGTCGCTCAAAGATGAGCTGTAGATGTGATGCCAGATCCCCTGGATTCACGTGGATGTAAGAGTCTGGTTGTGCATGGCCAGGTTTGCTGTCCATGTTAAAGTTATTGGAAGCAGTGGATCACCATGTGGTGCTGCAGAATATCGGCATTTTTCCAGTCTGTTCGTGCACAAGGCTGAAGGCATGGGGGGGGGGTATCTATTAGAATAATAGAATCCCAGGGCTGGAAGAGACCTCAGGAGATCGAGTCCAGCCCCCTGCCCAAAGCAGGACCTTCCCCAACTAAATCAACCCAGCCATGGCTTTGTCAAGCTGGGACTTAAACACCTCTATGGATGGAGATTCTGCCTATTGTCGTGTACCAGTGTATTGTAGTGTAACTGCACTAATTGGAGTTCGCAGCTCCCATTGGACCCTTTGGCCGGCCAGTCCTCTCCTTCATTTGTCGTGTTGGTAATGTAAACGAATTGTCTGTCTGGAATCTGAGATTTGATCTTTTGGAAGATGAGTGGCAGCCTCTGGTCTCTGGTGGTGATGGGATTTCACGTGTGGCTTTTCTTTTTCAAGCAACACGTCCAAGACGGCCGGAAGGAGAACCTGGAGGGCTTTGTGAAAACTTTTGAGAAGCTGCCTACCACGGACGGCTATCCAGGGATCTACGCTTTGGACTGTGAAATGGTGGGTACCTGGGAACGGCAACCCTATGTAAAAGGGGAACGTGCATGTGCAACAGGGCAGCGGTAAAGCTTGGGGTGGAAGCAGGAAGCTGTCTGCAGCGAGCTCTGTCTCCCTCGGGAAGCCTGTTCGGAAGAAAAGCCGCTCTTGGGCTGCTGTCTGGTGTCCCGCAGTTCTCTGAGTGGGAGTCTGACCCGTCCACAATGGGAACAGCGCCTTCTAATCTGCTTGCATGAGGAGCCTGGGCTCGGGACGCTCTAACCCTGGGTGTGTGAGCATCCTTCTGGTACTGCTGGTGACAAACAAGCCTGTTCAGGATTGCTGTGTATCCAGGGGTTGTACAAAGTGGATTACACATTTGTCGAGATCCTCTTTGTGGAACTGTTGTTAATGTTGATACCAGAAGGTGGCCTTGCTGTCTGAATAACTAACTCTCTCCACTGCTGTACTCTGTAGAGTTGCCTATCTATAGGCCGTGCAGGGGAGGGGAGTGGTCATGTAGGACTGCTAGGTATGGTGTGCTGCATCTGCACCTGCCATAGTTAGCATCAAAGAAGACTCTTCTTTTTTTCTTTTGGCAGGCCGCGGGGGGGGGGGGGGGGGGATAGTGGGAGATGTATGTTTAATTGATCAGTTGCTGTTAATACTTAAGATGATACATTTCTTTTGAAAACTAGTAGGCAAGTGGCGGGTGTTAGCCAATGCATATTAGTTGGCTATGCAGCAGCCTAACTTGTCATTCAGGAGATGCTAGCGCTAAGGTGAATGGGGCCGTGGTAGGAGTCTACATAAATAGCAAGATGTGGGTTGAAACCATCATGCTAAGATCAGCTCTTTCCTCCTTCGGGCTCGACAGTGTTACACCAAGCAAGGCCTGGAGCTGACCAGAGTAACCGTGATCAATTCTGACCTGAAAGTGGTCTATGACACCTTTGTCAAACCTGACAACAAAGTGGTGGACTACAATACCAGGTAAGAGCAGCCCCTCCGCTGGCTGGAGTATGGCCAGGGCCATGAAAAAGCCTTTTGACTCTGCTTTCTGAGGAGAGAGTTTAATAACCAATGGCTTCATCAGGCTAACACAGAAATCTCAGCATGGCTTCCCGCCCGGAGCCTGTCAGCACCACCCTTCAGCTGGCTCGAGAAGCGATGACAGGGCATTTCTCAAGTCCTCTCCAGCCGTTCCCTGCGGCTTTGATTAGCATTCGAAATGGCCAAGCTCATTGGTGGCTGCTTTTCCTCTCACGTGGCGGGTAGGAGGACTTCCCCTCAAGCCCAGCCACTCACGCAGGGCCAAGCCGTGTGGCTGCGCTCAGGTGAAGGGCCGATTTCAGCAGCTCACGTAACAGACGAGCCGCTGTGCTGAAACGGCCCAGAAAACGGGAGCCAGGCTACGCTTTTTTCCACAAAAGGTTTTCCTGCGTTTCATGGCAGAGGTATGGAAAGCAGGAGGGGCAGGGGCAGGCGCTCGCCCTGCGGGACTGCACTGGGCCCATGGGGCCACATCACCACCCCGGGTCGGTGCATCTGTCTGCTCATCTTCTGCTGTGGGGGGCGGGTGCACCATGCCTGGCTGACCCGGTGAGCAGTGGGCCGGGTCGCAGTGCCCCCGGGGCAAAGGAGCTGTGATGGGCTTTATTCACAGTGACCATGTAGCCCAGGACCTCCGCATCAAAACTGCGGCCTGGAAGTAGGGATGCTAAGAATCGTTTGAAAAGGTAACCGGGTCGTCCTAGTGGGGACGCGGTGGCACGCACGGCGGGCTCTGGAATGGAACTTTGTACCGCAGAGCCCGCAGTATACAAGTGGCATGCGACCGCAGTAGAAACCAATCAGTGGACGCTTATCGGGTAACCGTTTAGACGGTTACATGTTTGCCACCCTACCCAAAACGAGCTGTTTCAGTAATGGGTGTGGGTGCTACCGGGCATCTCTCACCACGTCGTGCTCCAAGGGTCACTGGTTTGGATCACTTGGCTGGAAGCTTATTCTTGAGGAATTGGAAGTGTTCATTGCCTCAGCTGTGTGGGTGTTGCTAGACCATGGCAGGCTCAGCCCCACTAAGGCGAAGGCCCCTCTTGCTGTCGTACTGCAGGTTCTCAGGTGTGACGGAGGAGGACTTGGAGAACGCAAGCATCACCCTGCGGGACGTCCAAGCTGTTCTGTTAAACATGTTCAGTGCAGACACCATTTTGATAGGACACAGCTTGGAAAGCGATTTATTTGCACTAAAGGTAACAAACCCTGTCCCCTCCCTTACTTTCCTTTCACCCGCCTCGTCCTTCCGTGCCTGCTCTGTTTCTTTTGGAATGCAGAGTCTGCCTTCAAGAGCAGAAAGATCCCAGTAGGACAGAAGTGGGGAACCTTTCTGGGGTCGGGAGCCACTGACCCACAGAAACATCCATCAGGGGCCACACACAAGTGAGAAGCCCCCGACTGAGAAGGAGAGAGACTCCCCACGTTCCCCTCCCACACTGAGCCTAGGAGGGCCCAGTCTAGTAGATTGTGTGCTCCAGCCCTGCGGATGGGTAGTTGGGGGGCTGGAGCGCCAGCACGGGCTCCCCAATACGGGGGGGATCCCTGAGCCTTGGACGCTGGATCCAGGCAAGCTGGGGGGCCACATCCGGGCCCCAGGCCTGTGATTCCTCACCCCTGCAGTAGATCCTTGTTGAGCCGTTGGAGGCTGCCAGATTGTGCCCCTGCTCGGCCTATTGAGCAAGGAGCATTTCAGGTCACTAGTGATCTTACCAAGAGTTCTCTCCTAGCTGGGTTTGGCCGAGTGTGAGAGACCTGGCCTGAGGCAGCTCGTTGAGTGGTTGGTTGAAGGCTGGAGGAGACATGACCTTCGCAGGGCCTGTGTTCCATTAGGACCCCGAATGAGCTCTAAGCTGACAGGAATCGTTAGAAGAAACACCATCCCCAGTGGCACAGCTGGGTTCCTGGTAGATGCACCCCCTGGATCTCAGAGGATCACAATGAAAAGAATCACGTTTACCGTTTCCTCAGCACGAGATACCTAGCCCTGGTCTACACTAGGGAGTTATTTTGAAATAACCCCCTTTCTTTCGAAATAAGCAGCGGAGCATCCGCACTGCTAAGCTCTTCATTTTGAAATAACAGGCTGCTTATTTAGAAATCTGTCCTCCTGCTGCTATTTCGAAATCACTGCTCCCCAGAGTCATTCGAAGTAATTGCTCCCCCTGCTTCCTGGGGCTGTAAGTCGAGGGAGCACGTCCCCAATAACAGAGCCTGCCTCGGACTCATTTCAAGGCTCACCCGCAGCGTGGACACGCAAGTTGATTTTGTTATTTCAAAATAATTCCCGCGTGTAGACCTGCCCTTATGGGCTTCGTTTTCTCTTAGCCTCACAGAAACCACCAGCGAAGGACCCCCCAGCAATATAGCAAAGCGCTGCAGGGCCAGGTCGTAATCTCGAACGGCTACGGCAGTAAAGAAGACATCCCAGTAATGGCCGCAGCAAGCTTCAAATAGCAAGAGCATTTCAGTTCCCTATTTAAAGCTGTATTATCCCGTCCTCAGCCTCCCTGATCTACATAAGTAATTATTCTGCTTGGGCTGCTGCCAGCCTTGGCTGCGGGAGAGGGGAGATTATCCGTAATGTTTGGCAGTTTTACACTTCAAAGAGCGCAGCAGGTTGTTTCCATTAAACTGCAGCTGTTCTGAAGCATTTCCCCAGCTCCGCTATGAAACTATTAAGGAGTTAGTTGCAAGTTGTCACGCAGCATTAGCAAGTGCCGAGGCAAAGTCAGGGGCAGATGGGAGGCTGAAGCGTCAAGTCCTGTTCGTCATCCTGTGTCATGAATCACAAACCTAAAGAATGGAGCCCTCCAGGAATTGCGTGCTCCGGCGGGGCGTGCCGATCGGTCTGTAAGCACCCCCTTCTCGACTCCAGTCCTTAGGATGCTTAACCTGCCTCTCACCCTGGCTTCTTCCTGAGCATCCCTCTGGCCAGCAGAGAGTTAACGTGAGCGCTCTCCAGGGTGTAGCAAACCTGAGCACGGACTGTTTCAAAGCACGTGGGCCCTGCCATGCTGGGTCGAACCCCTCCCTCGCGCTCTAAGCGTGAGCCTGGCTTCAGCCCTGGACGCTAGAGAAAGTGGACTCTGGCAGAAGATCCCTTCCTGGCCTCAGCATGTCGCCCTGTTTCTCCCGATATTAACCACAAACCACACATGTGATCAAATGATCCAGCCTCTTAAAATCCATCTGCAGCTAGAGCAGGAACAGGGCCATTCAAGCCCGTTGGAAACTCCCTCAAGTGAGTCCCAGCCCCAGCCCTGTCTCTGAGAGCGGCAAGTCTCCGCTGGTGCAGAGGTGTGGCGGGTAATGGGTTAAATCCACATGTGCTGGGAAGTGCCCTCCTGGCTCAAGCAGCTGCTCTGCCGGTGTCGGGGGGGAGTCCTGCAGAAGCATGGGGGGTGTTTGGCACTCGCTGCCGGTTGCTGGGAGTTGAGGGGCTGAGTCCAGACTGGATTTCAGCAGCTCTGGCTGCGGCGAGGACTTAGCACAGTGGCTGGTGGTGGGGGCGATACCGCAGGGTGACGAAAGGCTTCCCGGGGGTGCAGGATGAAGCCCAGTGACAGCTCGGAGACAAAACAGCCAGCTGTGCTTTTCCCCCCAGCTCATCCACTGCACCGTGGTGGATACAGCCGTCGTCTTTCCCCACCGGCTGGGTTTGCCTTACAAACGCGCACTCCGGACGCTGATGGCAGACTACCTCAAGCGCATCATCCAGGACAACGGTGAGAGGTCGGATCGGGGGGAACGGGGACGCCGCAGTGCGAGGGGCTCCGCTCCGGCCTGCCTTTCTGCCCTGCCACGCTGGCATCGGGGCTTCGCTGTGCTGGGCGCGGGTCAGACAGGCCTTGCCCCAAACCGCTCTCGCTCCTGCCAGACAATACCGAGGGTGGGAGAAAGGAAGCGTTTTGTCCCCATCTTATGGGGGGTGGGGAAGGAGGCCCAGAGAGAGCAAGCGACCTGCCCTTGGCTGGCTGCAGCCTGTAGCGGGGCTGGGACTTGATCCCATGTCTCCTGACCTGCCACTGGCACCGGTCAGGTCGGAGTTTCCCCTGAGTGCAGCTGCCTCTGCTGTGTTTTGCCCTGGACTCCCCAGCCTCCGTCTGCAGTTAGGTGCCGGCAGAGTGAGCCGCATGGATCCCCTCTGCTCCGAGGAGCAGCTGTCGCTTGACAAGGGTATTCCGGTTTAACCTGGGGAGCTGGCTCGAGGCCGCTGGCTCCCTATTAAGTGTCTGGGTCAGTCCCCCCCAACCTTCCAATAGCAATCAGGCTGTGGCTCAGTGTCCCGTCTCTCGTTCCCAGTGGAAGGTCACGACTCCAGCCAGGAGGCCAGTGCCTGCATGGAGCTGATGATCTGGAAGATCAAAGAAGACGCGAAAGTGAAGCGATGACTTGCACTCTCTCGCCTCTGCCGCGCAATAAACACTCAGCGTCACACTCCTCCTGCACCCAGCAGCGTGCCCAGCCCAGACCCCTGGGCGCTCGTAGGCACAGCTTGAGGCACTGGCTCTCAGCTGGCCAGGGGCACGTGTCGAGATCCTCGCCAGTAGGTGCCTTGTAGGCCTGACCAGGGCTGCTTTGAATACTACAGCCAGAGAGAGGCTCTTTAGCGTGTAGGAGAAGCCTCCGGAGGCGCAGCGGCTACATCTGCAATGATCTTTTCTCCCAAGCGAAAGGTAGAGAACTCTTCGTTCCTGGTTAGAGTCGGAGGGTTGCACAGCATCCGCCCTGGCTTCCGAAGCACACAGCTGCCCCGGGGGCCGGGGAGCAGGAACCAGATGGAAATGTTGGGGAGGGAGGGCAGGAAACGTGCACTAGCTGGCATGTGACTTGCAGAAAGGCCGGGGGGTAAAGACCTGGGCCTCCAGGCACGGAGGGTAGCAAGAGCCCACTGCAGGGGAGTCTGGCGCGTCGGAGGGGACGCTGCCCTTGAAATAGACACAGCTGCTGTGGGCGGGAGGGGAAGAGAAGCCGTGGTGATGCCCGTCAGCGGATTCTCTCAGTTGCTGGCCCCGATCTTACGGAGCATGTGCAGGGCTCCGTGTAGATCCTGGCTGAGGACAGGTGAAGCCAGAAGTGTCTTGTGCTCCGTGGTCGGCAGGGAAGCCACCCGGCCTGCTGTTGCCATGTCAGGGGCAGGAGGGTGGCCAGGACAGTAAGGAAGGCTCTGAAGCCAAAGAGCAACTTACCATTGTCTAGCACGGGCAGAACATCGACTTGTTCACTCGCTGGGGGGGCTGAGTTCTGCTGGCTGGCCCCTCGTTGCATCCTCCGGGGGCCGGCTCCCTCGAGTCACCTCCCTCATGCTCATCAGAAGCAAAGCTCAGGATCGCCAGTGGGGCAGGGTGGGGCTAGCCCAGGATGTGCTCAGGGTCCCTGCAGACTGATTCCTCTCGTGGGGGGGCTGACTTACCTATTGCTTCGCTCCTGCCGAAAATAGTACTTTTTAAACTGGCTTTCATAGAAATTGGGTGGTTTTTAAAAAAAACAAAATCCCTCAATTTCATGCTCTTTCTCTCTCCTCTTTTACAGAGCCCCGCCCCATCTTTCGAAAGTCTCCCCCTAGAATATAAATATTTATTTATGACCAGTAACTAAGCCAGGAGCGTACAGGAATAGCAAGGGCTTTGCCGGCTTCACTTTACACGCAGCGTGCTCAGGGTCCCCCTTTCTCGTCCCTTTGCTTTCAAAGCTCACGCAGTGGAGAGACTCACTCGAGCTGAGCCCAGGTATGATTGGCGTTTAGAGGGGCAGGGCGTGTCTGCTACCGCCGCTCCCACGGCCTGCCATGAGGGACTGTGCACCACCCGAGGGCCGGCTGAATTGTTCCCTGTCTGAAACAGCTGGGGGATGGACTTGGTAGGAATGAGTAATTTGCCACCAGTACGTTGTGTTCCTGGGTGAGAGGGGTTCTCCCCTCACCCCCCACGTGTGCCCTGGAAAAGTCTGTCTCGCTCTCTCTATTTTACCTTCAGTTAACAGTGCTGGGTCTTAACCTCCCTACAGCCTGTACAACCCTGCTACTTCCCTGGCTCCCAGCAGCGCTGCTGATTTACCAGCTCTTCCCACGTGCTCGCTGGGCTTTGGGGGCTGCTTGTGGGGACGATGGTTCCTTTGCAGCAGTGCCCTGAGAAACCTGTAGCAACGACCTACACCCTCAGCCAGAGGGGTGCGAAGGCTCCGTCACTTCCCACGTTGTGTGGGCGGAAGTGTGTTAACAGGGCTGGAGTCACTTTGGAGCTCTGGCCTCAGCTGGCTCTGCCCATCTCCCCAGTGGCTGCGTCCTAGCTCCCCCCGCGCAGAGCTCCTGCTGTGTTTTGTGAGGCAGACACGGTGGTGGGTTCACAGCTCTGCCCTTGGCCCCCTCCCGGCCTCTTGCTGTTACCGATGCCCGAGGCACGTCTCTGGCGCTGTGCTGCCTGGCTCGCGGGTGGGGACGTGTAGGAAGTTCAAGGGCAGGGCTGGATTTCTCGGCCCCCCCTCCCCCAAAGCAGCCTTAGCAGTGAAAGCTTAGCAGTTACTCCCTCTTCACTGCTGCCCCAGCGCCATAGGAAGAAGGGGCGAGCGTCGCAGCCCCCGTTACGGCCGGGCAAGGCATTGTTCAGCGGTAGCGCCCCGAGCAGCGCGGGTTCGAGGCAGGGTCTTGCCTTCAGCACGTCTTTCCAGGCAGCTTCTCATTCAGGCTGGAAACCGCCGTGTTTTGTTCTCGCCTGAGCGGGGACCTGGCCCGGCTGCCCTCGCAAAGGCCAAAGGGGCCTTGTTCCAGACCAGAAGTGGCCTTGGCCGTAGCTCTCCCCACCCCCTGTGGGGTGAGTGGCACAAGGGGGACTCCCCAGCTATCTCCAGCTGGGCCTACAGCGCAGCGTCCGTAGGGCCCTATGTAACCCTGGGGCGGGCAGGGCCTCTGCGGCTGGGCTAGAGATGGATTCTCCGTGCCAGAGGCAAGAGGTTTCCAACCGTGGAAACAATGGATCTTCCATTCTCCCTTCGGCTTTCAACCCCCCACGCTGGGGCTCAGTGGTGGGAGCAGCCCACGGTCTTACCCCCGTGCCTGCAAGGGGGTTGCAATATTCCATGTTGCTTTATATATTTTGCAGGCTCTTTCCTTCCTCCCCCCTCAGTCCCGTTCAGGTAGCAGCCGTGGGGCGCCAGTTGTCATTGTGCTGATTAAAATCAGGCCTCTGCACTGTCTTGTTACTAATCCCATGGCCGCGCGCCGCCAGTGTGGGAAGCGGGGAGTAGCTGCCGCTGCAGGTGAACCAGCTGGCCCGGAGCCGCGCCCCATCAGCAGCACGGGCTCTGACGCGCACTGGACACTACCGGCCCCGGCAGCAAGCGCCTGGATTTGGGGACTGTCTCAGCACTGTCACCTGCTACTTTTGTAACGTTTGTAATAAAAAGGTGTTGAAGAGACGGGCTCCTGGCTCTGCGCCGGGCTGGCGGGCTGCCAAGACTCAACTCTTGCTCTGCCAGTCGCCTGCTGCTCTGCTCCCCCTGGCACCGCGGGGCCCTGGGTGGGAGGTGCCCAACAGCGCCCCCTCCCACGCCCCCACTTGTTGAACTTTTCCTCTGGCGAATTCCCGGGTTGCTCGGGGTCACGTGGGTGGCACTGCGGTATTTGGATAGCTTCTGTCATGGCAGGTGATGCCCTTCCAGCCCCGGGCGGGTAGGACCCCAGCAGGTATTGCTCTGCCTAAGAGCGACACGGGGGTAAAGTCTCACCCAGGCCATTGGCTAAATGTACTGAGCAGAGAGGCCCTCGCCCCGCACACTGCTGGGACTTGGATTACATTCTTGCTGAAGGGAGAAAGTGAAGTTAGTGTTGACTGACCACCCCAAAGCATTAGGCAAACTACAGAGATGGGCCAGGGAGCCGG